ATTCAAACTTAGAGGGAACCTTGAATTTCCAATGTGTTTGTGAAGAAAGAGCCTTAGAGCGAGATGTGCTGGAAACTGAAAGAAGGATTTCCTAAACATTAGCTCAGTACATAATATTAACACTGGTTTGCTTAATCGTAGTGACTAGTTAATCACAAATTGTGTGATTCGATTCATGATTTGTCCAACAACTATTTTCTTATTTTACTTTGAGGTGGGACCTAAGGGTGTCCCACCAGGTCCCCTGTGGAAGGGGAGGGGCAAGGGGTGGGAGATCATAAGGGCAGCCAGTGCCCAACTCGATTCAGCCAATGTGTCATAACAAATCGTGCTGTGAACAGCTTTTCTTCTGCTAAATTTCTGAGTGTATTCTTTGAAGCATGGATACTCTAGTCTTACCGGTATTGTTTTTTATTTTTTTTTATATATAACCTGATATTTTTTGTTGTTCACCATTGTGCAGATAAAACGAGAAATATCAACAATGAAACTAATTAGACACCCAAATGTTATACGTATGCATGAGGTAAGAAGGCAGTAAATGATTGCTTCTGCATATTTTACCTTCGAATGATTTATTCCTGCATTGCAAATGACAAATTCTTTGTGTAGGTGATGGCAAGCAAAACAAAGATATACATTGTATTGGAATTTGTGACTGGTGGCGAGTTGTTTGATAAAATTGTAAGGCAGTCTTTACCGTTCTGCTTGCTTCTGATGGCTAACCAGTCTCTTGTATATTAGCATTGCCTTTTTTCTAACCCTATTACTTTGGTGCTCTTATTGCTGTTAACTTGATCCAGGCACGCAATGGGAGGTTGAAAGAAGATGAAGCTAGAAAATATTTTCAACAGCTTATATGTGCTGTGGATTACTGTCATAGTAGAGGTGTTTTCCATAGAGACCTAAAGGTTTATCTCTTGTGTAATTTGTCTTTTTCATTTGTTTATCTCGTATTTGTGTGAGAGACGCAAGGAAAAAGAATGTTAACATGTTACCGTGTTTTATCTTTTAAAGCCGGAGAACTTGTTGCTCGATGCTAGTGGATTGCTTAAAGTATCAGATTTTGGATTGAGTGCATTGCCTCAACAAGTCCGGGTGAGTTTGTCGACTAGTTTTCAAAACAAAAAGGAGAATATAATTATGCACTATTGGCAACTGATTATGTTATTGTTAATAGGAAGATGGGCTGCTTCATACAACATGTGGTACACCAAATTATGTTGCCCCAGAGGTATATTAGCTTTTGCTGGTAGTTATCATATCTTTTATCTCAAAGTTCTATTCTATTACCATCACTCTCTCTTATCTTCTAGGTGATCCACAATAAAGGTTATGATGGTGCAATAGCAGATCTCTGGTCATGTGGTGTTATTCTTTTTGTTTTAATGGCTGGCTATTTGCCCTTTGAAGAAAACAATCTTATGGCTTTATATAAAAAGGTGATTTTTACTCCATTCTCTTGATTTGAACGCAGTTCATGTTTCTGTTGGTGAAAATGTTATCTCTATGTTCTTTGTTGACGGAATGCATAGAAATCTCAGCCATGAAGCAGTGCATTGCTTAACCATGAAAGGAATTATTAGTGATGCATTCATACTCATAATTCTTGTTTTCTATTTTAATTTTTTAAAGCTATTGTTTCAGATTATACTCAACTTAACATTTCAGCACTAAGTAAAGTGTGTCTGTGTATATTATCTACTCTTCAAGTGAAAAAGGTTCTTGGGTTTGAGGGTGTTTAAGAGATAATAGTAATACCATTCTTGCACATTTTGTAGTCTTTTGTATATATTTTCTTGAAGAATATGCTTTTCGGTGGGAGAGTTGTTCCTTACAATTATGTAGTTTAGTCTTAAAACCTCAAAGTAAAATATTACAAAATGAGATTCTTGCAAAACAGTAAAGCAAATTTACCATATTTTCCTTGAACACAGTCCTTTACTTTCTGTTTCATGATGGTTTTTAGTTTATATTGTCTTGCAGATTTTCAAGGCTGAGTTCTCCTGTCCCCCATGGTTCTCTTCTAATGCTAAGAAACTAATCAAAAGAATCCTCGATCCCAACCCCGCGACAGTATGCTATCCTTACTAATCTGTTTTTCCTTCCATCATATAAAACATATGAGACCAATCTGTATTTCTATTTTACCGATATGAAACAGCGGATAACAATTGCGGAGGTTATTGAGAATGAGTGGTTCAAGAAGGGATATAAGCCTCCTAGATTTGAGCAGGCTAATGTTAGTCTCGATGATATAAATTCCATTTTCAGTGAATCTATGGTAAGACTTTCATCTTTGCCGTTATCTTTATCAAATTTTGTTCATTTGAGTTTGAACCTTGATGTCAATGTTGATTGTGGAGCACAGGATTCACAAAATCTTGTTGTCGAGAGGCGCACAGAGGGGCCAGTGGCACCTGTGACCATGAACGCATTTGAGCTTATCTCTACATCTCAGGGCCTCAACCTGAGTAGTCTTTTCGAGAAGCAAATGGTATGTTCAACTTTATTAAGAAAGAGGAACTGTATTAGGAATTAAGAATACTCGATTAAATTTTTTGATTGCTAGGGACTTGTTAAACGGGAAACGAGATTTACATCCAAATGTTCAGCAAATGAGATAATTTCAAAAATTGAGGAAGCAGCAGGGCCTCTGGGTTTTGATGTTAAGAAGAACAACTGTAAGGTAAAGAAAGCTATGTTTATTTATTCCATGCTCGGTTGAATTAGATATTCGGTTAACGTGTTAACAACGTTAACTTTGTGTTACGTTTCTACTTCTGATACTTTCTTATTCTGGATTTCAGTTAAAGATTCAAGGGGAAAAGACGGGTCGGAAAGGTCATCTTTCTGTAAACACAGAGGTATATATGATTTGCCAATTCGCTTTCATGAACTGTGGTTTGTTGTTCAAACTGTTTGTAATGGTTTGATGTGTTGTTTTGAAGATATTTGAGGTGGCCCCTTCGCTTTACATGGTCGAGTTGCGTAAGTCTGATGGAGATACTCTGGAATTTCACAAGGTGAGTTAGTTAAGCCTTTCTCTCTTTCTTTTTGTGTATATTTGAGTGATGTTTGGACTAAGTTAGTTGTCTTTGTTTGCAGTTCTACAAGAATCTAGCTACTGGGCTGAAAGATATTGTTTGGAAAGCAGAACCTATTGATGAAGAAAAATATGGTTAGTTTTCTAAAATCTTAAAACCTTAAAACTAATATTTTATATGTTTAGTCTCGGTGCAACAATAAGGTTGATTTTTTTTGTTTTGAGTTAATTTGGTACATTTGATATTGTGAATTTGTATTTTACAGGTAGCAGTGCATCAAAATAATATTAGTAGTTGTAGAAACACACCTACCTGTGTTCTTGTATAAGAGTGTGTACAATTGCTTCAAGGATTTTCTCATCACTTTCTTTCTCCCCTTTAATATATAAATTCATGGGGTGCCTTTATATTTTTACAAATATTCCATAGATGCAAGGTTTGTTTGCAAACATTTGAAAATAATGACAATAATATTGGAAAGTTTTAGAATGATAATCAAATCACATATATTATTATAGAAAATGTTAATGTGTTAACAATTATTATTATTATCATCATGATATTGAAAATAATATTTATAAATGATAAATGATATATTGATATTGTAAAGATAATTTACAGTGACAATATAATGATATTAAAATCATGATGGTCCAATTTTAGAACTCAATTATTACGTACCAACTTTAATTTTTGCCACTTGATAACCCCATTTTTATAGATAGTTTTTTTATTTCAATTCCACAATTTAATGAGGGAAGCTACAAATATTCAATTAATTAGAGTTAACTCAATTAATTACAATAAACTACAAAAATCAAAGTCAAATGAAGCAAATGTCATGGTTATAAATATTTAAATTGAAGACATTAATTCAATGCTAATTTTAATTTTGGAAATCAAATAAAGCAAGTATCACGATTATAATGAAAGGCTAAAAATCAATTTTTCATTATCACAACTATAATAAATGGGCTTTCATTAAGTCTAATAAATAAAAAAAGATGAGAGATTCATTTACTTGAGAGTAAGTTTTTTTTAAACTTACTCCACATCATAACCATCAATTTTAGGAAATTTAATGGTTTAGATCTACTCAATAATTCAAACCATTGGATTTCCCAAGAATTGATGGCTATTGTGACACCCTAATTTTAAAGTCATTAAATTATAGTATTAGTCTTGGAAATCTCGCTTGAGCGAGAAATGTGTCGCCTGGGCGAGAGTGGCTCACTTGGGTGAGTGAAATACTGGGCTATACTGAAGGATTCTCGCTTGAGCAAGAGGATCTTTACTTGAGCGAGAGTGGTCTCGCCTGAGCGAGAGTTGTTTCGTCTGGGCGAGAAGTGGCATTATGGGTCTGTTGAGGCTGTGAGATTCTCGCTTGAGCGAGAGCGTCAGATCAGAAATTTTAAAAAGGCGGGATTTTCTCGCCTGAGCGAGAATGGGCTCACTTGAGCGAGAACCCGACGAATTTACTTTATAATAGAAACCCCAAACACATTTTAGGGTTAGAAATTGAAAGAGAAGAGATGATAAGGTGATTTTGAGAGCAAGAACTCTTGGGAATCATCTAGAAGCTTGAGAAAAGGTAAATCTCTTGATTCTAACTCTTTTTCTCCCTTTCAAACTCGTTTTTTGGTATGTGGATCTCTTCTCAAAATGTGGGAAACTCATCCCTTAGAGTTATGGTTTGTTTTATGTTGTTTTTCTCTTGAAAACTCTCGGTTTAGAGTTGGTATTGGATAAATGAAAAGGTTTGGTGGGTTAGTTTATGAAAACCCCAAAAACCCCAAAATGAGAATGAGTAAAAAGGGAAATAGATGAAATGGTAGAGGTAGGAGATGAATATGTGTTCTAATGTTGAATATAAGATGAATATATATGTTTTGAATGTTTGGAAACTCTTAATGAAGTAGTTTTGGAAACCTTCAAAATGTGTGAATCTCTTGTATGTTTAAAGATGAAATGTGAGTTGTTTATGTGTTATTTTGAATAAATGACTGACATTGTTGTTATTGGTGGGAATGAGGAAAGATCTTAAGGTTGGAGGAAATCGTGGAGGAAACTTATAAAATTACTCGAAACTGACTCCAACGCTCACCAAGGTAAGGATAAGTCTTTAATTGTACACCGTAATGGAAAATGTGTGGATTTTTCTGGTTGAGAAAGTGATTAAGATGCAAGTCGTTTATTTATTATAGACATATATGGGCATGTTTGTAATAAAGGACGCGTGGAAATGCTGGTTATAAATTGATGGTGTATCAATGAGAAGAAAACATATTTTTAGCCGACCATGAGTGGGTAGCGACTTTGACTCAAGTTATGTAGCTGTAATGAATTTACAATGGTTTAATAACTCCTTTAAATGTGGATTTTTGTTGAATTACCTACCTGAAGTGGTAGTGGACCATTGGAGAAATTTACCTACCCGAAGTGGTAGTGGATCATTGAGGTAAATTACCTACCCGACGTGGTAGTGGATCATTGAGAGAAATTACCTACCCGAAGTGGTAGTGGATCATTGGGGGAAATTACCTACCCGAAGTGGTAATGGATCATTGGGGAATTACCTACCCGAGGTGGTAGTGGATCACTGGGAAATTACCTACTCGAAGTGGTAGTGGATCATTGGGGGAAATTACCTACCCGAAGTGGTAGTGGATCATTGGGAAATTACCTACCCGAAGTGGTAGTGCGTAATTGGGAAATTACCTACCTGAAGTGGTAGTGGATCATTGGGAAATTACCTACCCAAAGCGGTAGTGGATCATTGGGGAAATTACCTACCCGAAGTGGTAGTGGATCATTGGGAAATTACCTACCCGAAGTGATAGTGGATAATTGGAAAATTACCTAAATGAAGTGGTAGTGGATCATTGGGAAATTACCTACCCGAAGTGGTAGTGGATCATTGGGAAAATTACCTATCCGAAGTGGTAGTGGATCATTGTTGAGTTGTGGGCTTACCCGTAGTGGTAGCGGATTATTTGTGCAGTGTAATCGGTCGGATGTGGTAAAGAGTAAGCTTGATGTCGATGGTAATTGATGAAACAAAAAGTATTCGAAATAAATGGATATGCATGCTATAAAATATATATTAAGTGATATATATACTATAGGTCTATTATGGATAATATGGAATTACACGACAGAAGATGCGAACGCTTATATTCATGTAATTATGAGATGTGTTTCATTTCAATGCTTATTTCTATTTAAGAATACAAATTATCTTTTAATGATATTTATTGAATTAACGACTTACTCCTTTGTATGTTTTGTGTATTTGTCATTGATAATCCCATTGTAGGTAAGCGGATGTTTTAGGAACGACTTGATTAGGAGTCTTAGGAGCTTAGCGATCAAGATTTTATATTCGCAATCTTTTGTGTACTCTTTGATTATATGATGACTGTTATTTGTATTTATGGGTGTATTTGATATTGTAACCCATGACCCAGTACATGTTATAATCCTTAAATTATGAATGAGCATTATGTTTTTCTGCATAAGAAAGTAGTTAAAGTATGAAACTAAAAATGTATGTTCAGGATCATAAATGATAAAAGGAACAAGGAAATTTAAGTATAAAGGAATTTGATGTATGACGTAATTGAGAAACTATGTGTAAATGAATTAAAATAAGGAGAAATTTTTCAAGGGTAGAATTTGGGTTCTTACAGCTATGATGTGGAGTAAGTGTTTTAAACTTACTCTTGGAGTAAGTGGATCCCTTCCCAATAAAAAATATAACGTCCTGAAAGTTTTACAAGTACAATACTGGTAAGGATGACAAAAATACCCAGACCCATGGGTACCCGTAAAAATAGCTCATGAGTGGGAATGAGTATCATGATACCCGCCCGTGGATACCCGCGTATATATTTTAATGAAATATTTTATATTTAGTTATTATTAGTTTAACATTATATTTGTTTATTTTATTATTACTTCATAATAAAATTTAGTAATGAGACTATAATCATAAAATTATCATATACATGTCATATTATTTAACTAAAAATTATTTTTATAGATTAATTATTGTAAAATATATAAAAATATAATTAGAATTGGAAATTCATTGGGATTGCTTGAAGGTGGATACAATTTACTCCATTTTTAGGAGTGCTAAATTATTATTTTTCAATAATAATAACCTTATGTTAGAGGGAGTAAGCACACGTGATGATAGGTAATAATAAAGACCCAATATAATTTTCTGAATTTTAATGAAATTAGTTTCATCATTTAATACTATAGCATATATGTTTTTTTATAGGCAAATGTTAGTATGTTAGTATTTTGTGGTGAGTGTGATTTGAATCCTCAACTTCCTTATCACTTCACTCCTTAAGTCTTTCACTCTTGACTTTGCATGTATATTTCTTCTCTCGCTAAAAATTTAATTTGAAACGAAAAATATATGTTTTTTAAACATAAGCTAGTAGAAAAATTGATTAATATTCCGATCAACTTACTCATCATATTTGTATATGTCTCTATTCAGATGTGCACAAAGTAATACACATTTTGTCGAAAGTATAATTGATTCTCTAATTTTTATAATATATATATAATTAATAATATATATACATATATCATTTTATATGTCTAACTAGCAAGTCGGCAATATTTTTTTGTGGCGCGATTAAGAATACACATATTATATATGCATTCACATGGTTAATTAAGAACACACGTATTACTCGTACATTCGTATGATTAAAAATGCACATAAAATATAGTGTGTGAGGGTGAGTGCATTACTTTTGAAATATATAAAATAAAATGTATATAAAGTATGGGTGAGTACATTACTTTTAAAATTATTAATAAATGTAAAAAATATTTTGTTTAATGTTAAAGTTATTATTATTATAGGATATTATTTAATAATTTTTTCTTAACATTATGAACATCCTTTTGGAAAGGGGAATATTTTTTAAAATTATAAACATCATTTGAAAAAGGGAATATTTTTTAAAATAAAAATGAATGATTTGAGGAAATGACATGAGTTTTTAGAGAGAGAAATTGAAATGATTTTTAATAGTAAAATTAAACATTGCTAGAAAAGTAGTGAGATATTAATGTGACAGGAAAAGTTTTTAAAAAAAAAGAAAAGAAGTGACACATATATGAAAGGAATGTAAATGACTATCGGGTAGAAAAGCAAGGGAGATAATCTATTTACTCTAAAAGTAATTTTAAAAAACTTACTTCACATTTTAATCATTAATTCCGGGGAAATTCAATGATTTAAATTAGTGAGTAAATTTAAATCATTAAATTACTAAAAAAGTTACTATTTGGGTAAGTAGACCCATTCTCGAAAAGTAAATGTGTTTGAAGAGAGAATAAGTTGTGACATGTGTCCAAAAGGAATAGTGTTGTGACCTTTTGTATACGGTAAAAATAGATTATATATTCATAATAATAAATAATATTGAGAAAACTTTATTTAAAATGAATGTGAATTATATTTAATTAGGTCTAGGATCATGTTTAACTTTAAATATTAATTCATAGATATTTAGGATCATGTTAATTTCGAGTTTAAGGCCGATTCGGAGTTCAAAAAATATTGGTTGTGGCCGGGTAAGGAAAGTCTTCCTCATCCTCAACGAAAAAGGATCACATATCCCAAAAGTGTATCCTAAAGTATGTCTCATCCAATAAAATTGTGACACATAATATAAAATAATAATATTTTAATCATGTTTCCTAGTATTCCATTTTTAATAGATGTTACAATTTTATTGGATAGAAACAAAGTATTTGACACACCTTTGGAACAATAGTGATATGTATTCATCTCCGAATAATTATTTGTTGTCCCGCACCAATCAAAATATAACATGTCAACTAAAAAATTAAACATTAATAACATTTTTCATTTTTACTTCATTTTGATTTATGTGAGACATACTTGGGGACGTGATTGGGACTAACACGAACACGGATCCTCTCCTGTACTGGAGGGTCTAGTACAGGTTGGATGATGACATATGACATTTCACATTTTTTAATGGTATAGATTTCAAATTATTTTTAATTAAAAAATATTTTTTATCTTTAAAGCAATTCGAGCCTCACATTCCGATACTGAAGGGTCCAATACTGGAAAGGATCTCAGCCCGAGTAACGCATCTCCTCACCCTTAATATGTGGTAGTAATAGATAGTGAAAAGTGAAAACAATATCAGAAATCAGTTTAAACCAATGAAATTTGAAACATATCCCCACGTGTCAGTCCATAAGGCCATAACATCTTCATTATATCCTTAATAAGAAACTCACTATTCCATGTTGTTCTTTTTCACTCTCTTTCTCTCTCTCCATTCTCCACCATGCACCCAATTACTGGATCCATAACTCTTCACTCTTCACTCTGCACATTCTCTTCTGATAAACCATCTTCATCATCATCATCTTCTTCTTCTTCTTCTTCTTCTTCTAGATCAACCAACAATCTCTATGTTGCTTCCAAACCCAAAACTCTTCTCCAAAACCACCCACTTTATACACCTATCAATGAAACACTCTCCATTCAATTCAAAGAAAAAATCTTGTGTCTTGAAATATTAGGCATTGATGCAGGTAAAGCATTGTCTCAAAACCTTCAACTTCATTCAGCTACAATGGAATCCATTCATTCCATTATCTCATTCCTTCTATCCAAAGGTATTCATCAAAAAGACTTGCCTAGAATATTTGGCATGTGTCCCAAGATTCTAACTTCAAATATCAAAACTGATCTTAACCCAGTTTTTGATTTTCTCTTACAAGAACTTAGTGTCCCAGATCATAACTTTAGAAGGGTTGTTAAAAAGAACCCAAGATTGCTTACTTCTAGTGTTATGGATCAACTTAAACCAGCTTTGTTCTATCTTAAGAGACTTGGGTTCAAGGATTTGGAAGCATTGGCTTATCAAGATTCTATTTTGTTGGTATCTAATGTTGAAGGGACCCTTATTCCTAAGCTTAAGTATTTGGAAAATTTGGGATTTTCTAAAGATGAAGCTAGGTGCATGGTTTTGAGATGTCCATCATTGTTTACTTTCAGCATTGAAAATAATTTTCAGCCAAAGTTTGAGTATTTTTCTGTGGAAATGGGTGGAAAATTGGAGGAGCTGAAAGAATTTCCTCAGTACTTTGCTTTTAGTTTGGAGAATAGAATAAAGCCTAGGCATTTGGAGGTTTTGCAAAGTGGAATTCATTTACCTTTGTCAATGATGCTTAAAAGTACTGATGAAGCATTTGAGGAGCTGATAAAGCAAGGAGGTGGATGATTATGGTGGCAGCATTGTTTTCTATGTATTTGTTTATGTAAATGCATGCCATGCCAAGGTATTAGAAACTTTGATAATGTGTTCATAAGTTTTGTGTTTTCAAATTCCTATTAGTACATGCTCCCAGAATTTTA